AGGCTTTTAAAGTCATTCAAAATACATACGAAGTGCTGGAGAAGGAAAGGATTATGTACTTTGATGCCTTATCTTAGGGATTACTGAAGATGAAGATTCCAGCAACTGCTTTTTTTTTTTGTGTTTTGTTTTGTTGGTTTTTTTTTTTTTTAAATGGCAGATCTTGGCAAAATTGATAACTTGAATATGTATCTCCGAATTTTCTTTGGCTATTGAAGTATCCTCTCTAGGAGAGGAAACCAAGAGACCTTGGCTTTTGCAGTTCAGTATCTGAAAGCTCTTGGTATGAAACACTGTTCTTGAGAATAGTGGGTTTTCATAAGGTATGAACTTGAGCTTTCACTCAAGTTTCTAAACAGAATGGATAGCTTCCACAAGATGTGTTTTGTAATGCTGCTCAAACTGCAGAAATGCAAATATTGTTTTACTGTCAGAATGAAAAATGTCCACTATGTGTCAATAACTTTCATTCAGTACAGTGATATTGTGCAGGAGTAACATCGTTACTTTAAACATGGAAGGTATTAATAGCTTTCATTCAAGGGTGCTGGTAGTAGCACATTTTGAGGTCTGTCAAGGTACCTTGTGAGTCTTTATTGCAGCATTATTTGCAAATGCTGTGGAGAGATAGCACTTAGTGCTCTTTTACACAAGGCACTGCAAGCTATAATTGGAAATGGGCACCCAGGTATGGACATTTCTTTTGTACTTTGTCTAAAACCCTAATGATGGTTTTCAGAAATACACTCGTAAAAAGATCCAGGCTTCTAAAATTTTACATGAGTACAGAATTTCTATCGTTTAACTTAAATAGGAGATGGAAATAATTTGGGCACTTTCATGTAGTCTGAAAACAAACAGGGTTATTCTGTCTGTCTTGCATAATAACGCTGAGGTTCTCCAGGTGTTCCTGGCTCTGTTGCTGCCCCTCTCTGCTTCTTATTCCTTGTAGTGCAGAAAGCAAAACTTGAATTTACCAGACTGCCACTGATGAAGACCATTGCTGATTTTACTAAAAGTTAAATTGGGCCCTAGGATGGGAAGGGGGAGGGGTGAGGAATTGTGAATTAGAGCAATTATGAATTAGGTAGCTGTACTTTAATAGAGTCTTGAACTGTGATACTGGAAAGTTGTGTGACTGTAGTGAGAGTGGGAAGAGGTGATAGGCGTTCAGGGTGAAGTAATTATGGACTTCTGACCCAGATGACAGCAGCAAGTTTAACTGTTCATGTGCCTTATCTAAAACTTTCTAATGTGTTGCTGTTAAGAAATAGTTTATGCTATGTACTAGTGCTGGCTCTGTACAGATACCTGTTATGCATGTAACTTATATCTATGTTACTTTATTGGGAGTATCCTAGGAATGAGCTAGACTAGCTTGTTTTATCAGCAAAAGCTCTTTCATTTCCTTTGACCCACTATTTTGCCTGCAAAATGCTTCAGTTGTTTGTATTGGCAGGATTTCAATTTAGAAGTCACTATCTGTATAGTTTAACAGGCTTTTCAGTTCTAGGGGCTGTCCAGATGCTCCTCATTAAAGTAGAAATTCTGGTAGCAATCTTTGTTCACCGGGCAGAAGTGTGAACAAAGCCTCTGTATAAATGAACTTTGAGAAACTTGGTGAACCATGGAAAACTCTCAGCTTTTGACAGAGAAGTCACTTCTTGCCCTTTGTGACATATTACAGTTTTTCCCTTTCATTAGGGGAGGTGAAGTCTCTTCATTAATTGTTTGTATTGCGTGATAATTGTTTGTAGAGGGTTTGTAGGTTTGCATCTTTATGCAGAGGTGCCATCTAAGAGAAGGGCTTAGCTTTAAAGTTCTTTTTCAAAGTACTTTTATGTGTGTCTAGTAGGTTAGTAGTAATGTCATCTGCAAGATTGCTTAAGAAGTCTGTGTCTGATTAACTTAGTCTTGTTGATGTGAGTGGAAATGTACTATCTGTCTTCCAGCTGTGGTGGCAGAGGTCAGGCAGTTTGTCCCCCTCAGCTGCTGTGTGGTAGCTGCTGAGAGGGTTGGTCACAGTCACTGTGGTGACACTAATATTGTGGGTTTGTAGACAGAGGGATCAGTTAGTAGTTAGACCAAAAACTAATTCTGTGGGGAAAAGCTGAGTGCCTCAGTGAACTTGCCCATATAGCTACATGATTGCTTTGTAATGGCACAACAGAAGGATCTGGGAACAAATTAGTATATGATCATTCTGTAGTCAGCAATCTGCATGTAGCTGGTTGAAGTACTCTGTGAAATAGTTTTAATGTAGATGCTGTTATACTGGTAGGTATCAACTTAGATGGCTGGTGAAATTTTTTGGAGTAACTAGTATAAACCATGTAGTATTGACAACTTGCTGGAGTAACTAGTGTTTTATCTAGTTGTGCAAGTAGGGTTTGGTTTCATTGCAATGCATGTGTGTGAGTCTACATGCTACTTATGCAACTAGTGCTTTATGGCTAGTTTAACTTTGGTGCCTTTTGCGTGTTGATGTCTTGTTTAAATATGATTTTAAAGGAATTTTGCCTTTTCTGCTGAAGATACTACATATATATTATATATATTTTTTCTATTTTGGGGAGTGGAATTGTTTAGCATGATACTTTAAAGGAAAAAACCCAAAAAAAAACAAAATAAAACAACGAACCCCAAACTTCACATTACTGCAGGTATTCTTTAAAGCCCTAGCTGTGGCAATATCTGTGACAACCTGATAAACTGAACTTCAGTTTCTCAAATGCGTTTATATGCTTCAAGGCACTGAACTTCAGTGATCCCTCAACTTTTGTCCAGTCCTTTCACTGGATACTTATCAGAATGGATTCAAGGGCAGGATTTTGGTGAATGTGCCATATTTACACATCTGCTTGTGTAATCTTTACTCTGCATGCACTCTTCTAACCTTTATTTGGCTCAGCTGCTGTGCCTGGTCTTTTTATCAGCTGCTTAATCTTGCTTTTGCTTAGTCATGGTAGGGATCTCTTACCATTCTGGCTGTGGTATCTGGGCTTCTGGGCTTTTTAAAGTGTTGTATAGGGAGGTTTTTTAATGTGCGGTAGGGGTTTTTCTTCCCTTTTTTGTTGGGGGTTTATTTGCTGTTGTGGTTGATTTTTTTTTTATTTTTTTTTTATTTTTTTTTGTGTGTGTATCTGTGCGTGGTTTTTCTTTCTTTTTTTTTTTTTAAGGCAACTATTAAAATAAATGTCTGACTTTAATGCAAAAATTTGAGTTTTGGAGTTCTGGTACTACTGGAAACTGCTAGTAATAGCATCTTCCTGATCTGTATAAACAAGTATTTTTGTTGGAAGAGAAGACTGATAGGAGATTAATGTGGTGAATATGAACTAAATGCTAATCTGAATTGCCTAGGCTAGCAGGAATTCTTTAATCTACTGTCTTAGCATAGTGTAAGCTATCTCATAGAATCATGGAATAGTTAGGGTTGGAAATGACAAGATAATCTAGTTCCAACCCCCCTGCCATGAGCAGGGATATCACACACTAAACTATGACACCCAAGGCTCTGTCCAACCTGGCCTTGAACACTGCCAGGGTTGGAGCATTCACAACTTCCTTGGGCAACCCATTCCAGTGCCTCACCACCCTCACTGTAAAGAACTTCTTCCTTATATCCAATCTAAAGTTCCCCTGTTTAAGTTTAAACCCATTACCCCTTGTCCTGCCACTACAGTCCCTAACGAAGAGTCCCTCCCCAGCATCCTTGTAGGTCCCCTTCAGATATTGGAAGGCTGCTATGAGGTATCCAGTGGTGCTCCAGGCAAGATGACCCTAAATAGAAGAAATTTTGCCTATTTAATCATTTCAAATGCTGTAGTCAGAAGCATCAAAACCTGAATTGATGCTCCAAAGCCTTATTTCCTGTGTCACTGGTCAAGTATTAGAACTTTATTTCATGGTTGCTTTAATCCAAGGCAGTAGTAAAAAAGTGTATTCAACTTGCTTACCTAATCATTTTTTATGTGTATGTAGTAGTTTCCTACTTAAAAGTTGAGTAGTGAGTTTTTATGGCATGTTATGTATCTGTTAGATGAATGAGTAACTTGAAGCTGAGAAAATGCACTGAACTAGAAGATGTGCAAAGTTATTTGTTGGATGGAAATGTGGAACTGCATACAATATCAAAGTGCATGCTGGGGAAGAATAAAAGTCAATGGAGAACAGGGATTTAAGTTAAGGGAATGATGGGTTTAAGATATTAGGAGATACTGGGAGATGATTGCCCTACATCTCAAGGGTCTTATCAGCAATGGAGTTTTGAGATACCATAGTCTGCTAAAACCAGACTGCTATTCTAGTGTACTGTATGAGCTTTCAGTTGTGCTTAAACTGTTCCAAAGTAACTGACTTACTAGGTAATCATGCAGTTTCCTTTGGAAAGGATCTGTAAGGTTATCTAGTCCAAACCCCAGCTCAAACTAGGATTAACCTGATGGTCAGGATCCTTAGTGCCTTGTGTAGGCAACCCCAAAGGATGGAGATTGTGTTCTCCCTTGCCAACTTGTTTCAGTGCTTGATTACTCTTATGAGTAACTTTTTTTTTTTTTTTTTTTAATGTCAACTTGAAATGTTCTTGCTGCAACTTACACCTTTTGGCTTTTATCCTTTTGCTGTATATAGCATTTTTTTGGATAAAAAAATACACATTTCCTGCAGAAGTGAGAATACAGAATGTAATTTTAGATTAATAGTGGAGCTATGAAAAGACTGACTGAATCCCATAATGTTCTAAATGCTTTAGTTGCTATGGGTAATGCCTTTTACTATTTTGTACTGATGGAGTAGAAACTTTCCTTCCTTGGATTTGGCTTCAGAGAGTACATACACCTCTCTAAGTAACTAGAGAGCTTTATGTTTACTTTAAGAAGTCTTCACAGCTGATTTTGCAAGGACATTTTAATTTATTTTTTTTTTTTTAGTTAAGAAATTCCATTTTTAAAATGTGGAATGGTTTTCAGTAACAAATTCAAATGCATTAAAAATTGCAGCACCCAGGTGGTGAAGAAGTCCTCAGGGAGCAAGCTGGGGGAGATGCTACTGAGAACTTTGAAGATGTTGGCCATTCCTCAGATGCAAGGGCAATGTCAGAAACCTTTATTGTTGGGGAGCTTCACCCGGTGAGTATGTGAGAGTACTGATACTTGCTGTTTACTGTAGTGGTTTGGGGTCTGGTTATTTCCCTGGTAACTTTTTTCAGAATAAAGGAAAGATGCTAGTTGTGGGTGGACCTGGGCGGGAGATAAGATTCCCCCAGTATGAAGGTATTTGATTAGTGTAGCATAAGGATCATCACATCTAGAAGTTTGCTGCTTTGAAATATTTTACAGCTTAATTCTGGATTTAACTAAATATGGAATCATGCCATTTCTGTGTACCCTGTAAGCTCTATAATGAGACTGTCTAATCCCTGAAGGTGGTATGTCAGAATGTCTAGGCCTTTTCTTGTGTCAATATGCAGAGTGATTACTAACAGCTGCTTTTGGTAAATATATATGCCAGGCCTCCATCTGGATCTAAAAGTACATATGAAGAGGTAGGATTGTATGTTTAGAAAATGCTACTGTAAGTATTGTACTTCTAGTTTGATGCTCTGTCTTCCCCTCTTTCTGGCTCTCCCATTTTGACCTCTGTCACTGTTCCCTACTTGTAGTTGTCAGGGTTGTTTATGATTAGCTCCCACTGTATCATCTGTCACTTCCTCTTTTCTATACTGTCCTTACCATTTTCTATACTTCTGACAAGCATCTTCCTGCTGCTTCAAGTTTTTAAGGATTTACATTTTGGCTACAGAGCTGCTGCCTTGGCTTCCTTCAGATAGGTCTTATTCTCTCCTGCATCTTAATAGTTGAAAACCACTTGTTAGGGGTTTAGGCTGCTAGTGTGCCCATCTGTTCTACTTTATTGCCCATCCCTGCCTCTTTTTCCCTCTTCTATTTTTCTTGTGTATGTTCTGTCTTCTGTTCAGAGTAAATATCACTGTCTTGAGTAGCGTATTTCACAGTAATATTCCTGATCATGTGTCTCTTAGGTCCTCTCTGATAAATGTTAATAGTGCATCTTCCCTTAATATGAAATAACTCTGCTCTGCACATTTGCAATCTCACTGGCTTGTCACTTATTTCAGATAGCAGTTGATGCCAGTAAAGTTGTTCTTAACCTGGCTAGCAGTCCAGTTCTTGCCTGTTTAACAGGTGCCTATTTTTATTTAATGTGAAACAAAAAGCTTGATAGTTTAATGTATAATTACAGCACTGTCAAGATTATATCCTGTTGGGCTTTTTGTAATGAGTGTGACTTTTAAGTAGAACTTCCTGAGTTTATGAAAGATCCATAGAATTTGGGACCATTGCACAGGTTGTTGGAACAAACTAGTTAAATGCCTGATAGTATAGGTAGACTAGGCAGAAGTAAGCTGATACTATTGAAATCAGCTTATAAGATAAGGTTATGTGTACTGTTTAGATGCAAAAGAAATGCAAAAACAAGGGCAGAAGAAATAATGAAATATGTTGGAGAAGTGAGTTTCGCTTCCTTATTGCATACTGGGAAGTATTATTTAAGGAAGTGATCTTGCTTGTGATAGCTCACAATCATGCACTGACATCTGCTCTTTTGTAAGTCTGTTTCAAAGGTAAAAATAGGTGCACATTAACAGAATAAATTGTAAACTGAATTTAGAGACTTTTTTTTAATGCTTTAGGGTTTTGTCTAAATGTTTCTCGCTTGCTTTCCTGCAGGACGATAGATGGAAGCTTCAGAAACGAACAGTAAGTGTGTTACTTGAAATGCCACATTGTTTCCCTTAGGCATTGGGAGTAATGTCTGTAAATGGTATACCCCTGGAGGCAAAAATAATTTGGCTCAATTTAAATGTAGTGTTTCAAGTTATAAATCTCTTAAACCTGTTGATCTGACTTCAAATTATTCTTCCTGTTAGCTGTTTTTTTTCTTATTTGTGGTGTTTTGAATCGAGAGGTTAATAAGTGTGATGGCATTACACTGTAGCAAAAAGGTGAGTGTAGAATCAGTATATGGTTTTCGAGTACTCGGGGAAAGAAAAAAAATCAGTTTATAGACAGAGTGGATTAAACTAAGTGTTGGTTTTTTTTGGCGGGGGGGGGAATGTGATGCTTAACAGTATATTGGTAACACTAGTAGAGAGAGAATGTGGAGGCATTTGATTGCTGTGTTACAGATCAGTTAATTTGCAATTGTGAACCCTTTTCAAGGTGAAAATACTGTTTACTTCCTGACTGTTTCTGTAGATTTTACTGAGTGTTCTGTCAATGCAGCAATAGTAAAAATTCTATTTTTAGTAGAATAAAGTTGTGTTGGCACTCAACTATAAAACTAATAAAATACAGATGTCTTCTAAAGGAACAAGTGCTTCAGGGATTAATTTGTACAATTCCAAAAAAAAATAGTGGATGTTTGCTCAGGGCTGGCTGAACAGCAGCAGGACAATTAGGAAATAGTTGAAGATTATATTTAGGTGAAGTGCAGTAGGACTAGGATCTTACTGTTGATAAATATTATTGGAAGATCTTAAAGTGACTTTTTTTAAAAAGTAATAAGCTAAAGGGGTGGAAACAAAATTCAGTGAAATATTTGCTATAGCAATTAATAATTTTATTAAGGACTGCAACTAATATACAAATAAAAATAAGAAATGGAGTGGTAATTGGAATTCCGATCTTTTTCCCATCAAGAATAACATCTGCTACTTGGATTTCTTTTGAAATTCAGGGCAGTTTACACTGAAGATGTAAGAATAGCGGTGTTAAACACAGCTGAGAAACAGATTGCTCCATGCAAGTTGTAGTGTACAATCCTTTGATTAAGCTCATAGGAACTTACTAAACTGAAGTACTTAGAATATTAGTTTTGCCAGAGCGTGGTGGCCATTTGGGAGTTAAGATCCAAATGACTTCTTACTACACTCCTATGTGGCTTATTCACTTGTTTTAATGCTGGTCATAGTTATCTACACTGCATGTATGTTTTCCGTCATTCCAGAAGGAAGCTGGAGCGCTTTCCTTCAGCAAAAAGATAGTTTCACTTAGCACTCTGGGTGGGGAATGTGACAGGTTCAGCTCTGTGCCTTGGCTCTCTAGGAGCAGTCAGAAGGCCTTGTGCTTTCAAATGTCTTCGTCCTTGCACTGTATTTAAAGTACCCTCAGTGTACATGTTCAGGGTAGTAGTATTTAAAAACAGGTTTTGATTAGTTGGGCTGTATTTTTTCTTACCGTCTTGGTGAGGAGGAGAGCCATCCCCTGGCCCTGGATGTGACAGGTTGGTTATTGTAGGAGATGTTAGCCTTGATAGTGTGGATACAAGCTGCTCCATGCTGTTTGGCTTTGGGATTAGTTTTTCATGGAGATATTCACACCAATATAGACGTAATCATTGAATCCTATTCTTTTAAACATAGTTAGATCTAAACATATGATGATTTGGGTGCTTCTAAAAGTAGCCTGTTTGAACCTAGGGGAGGATGTTGGGTAATCTTGACCTGTCAGAATATTTGCAATTCATTTATGCTGGAGCAACTACTTTTTCAGTGATGGAAATTTAAGTATAGTTTGAATGCTTGGATCTTATAAATGCACTAGGGCAATGTGCAGTTAGTAATATTCAAATTAATAAGTATTTGTATAAATTGTGCATGTGTACCTAACTGGGATTTGATCTTGTAGCACTTTCCATATGGAAACTGAACAAGGAGTCCAAATCGGTATCAGAAACAACTATAATTTGACTGATGCTTATGCTGTCTGAAACACCACACTAAAAAACTGAGTTTAATAAGCCTTGTGGATGTCAATTAGTAGCTTTCTTCATGTAGATTTGATAAAGGAAATATTTGTGTATTAGCGTATTTTCAATTAGATCTTAGACAAGTAACGAATCCTTTAGGCAACTGGAACTCTTTGTATGTAACCTCAGGTTGAAGTTGGCTTCATGAAAACTTAGAACGAATTTCCCTGTAGCGTCTGGGTGTTTTGTTGTTTCTATTTTATTTTATTTTTTTTTTAATAACACTGGATGCAATGTTGACTACAGAAACTGCTGCTAGCTAGTTTCTAAGACAACAGTGTTATGGGAATTCTGAGAAAATACTTTCCAAATGCGATGCACGAAGTTGTTTTTAAATGAATTGCACTTAATGAGTGTCCTGTTTTCAGCGTGGTTCTTAGTTGCAGGCTGGGCTTAAACCACAACAATGAGTCTTGAAAAACTGAGGGAGTAGTGATGATAGAGTGGGGTACCTGTCTGATGTATCTTTTTGTGCTTTGCTTTCCAGGAACCTCTTATTACCACTGTGCAGTCCAATTCCAGGTATAGTATGACACCTGATGTTAAACTTTAAGTTCCTCATGGTTATGTTTCTGAAGCTTAGAAAGCTAAATAGCTGCTATCTCCTGGAAGCTTAGATGTCGGAGGGTGGTGCATGAACGTTTCTGTTCTACATGAAGTCCAAGTTGGCATCTGTGTACCACTGTACAAGCATGTTGGCTTACTAGCTAGATTTGACTTTTTTTCCTTACATTGGTAGGTATCAGCATCTACCAAATGGTTTATGTTGCACAAGCTTTCATTTCTAGGGGCTGCCAGGTGACATTTGGTGCCATGTCTGACTCTTTTTACTGATATGGACACTTTACTTGTAAGATTTGCTGCAAGTATTGCATCTAAGGGAAATGAGAGGATTATGCCTGTAAGAGGGAAAGTCCATCAGAATTGGGATGGGGGAAGAACACTTTGAAACACTGCTGAATCAAACTTTATGAAGTTATATCCAGGTGACAATTGCTTTTGCTGAAATGTCAGAGCACTGTTCCATGGCTCTGAGTGGGAAGTTCAGGTGCTTGGAAGTGTCATGTGATGTGCTGCTGCTTAAATGGCTTTTGAATGAATGATACTCTGGGCAGCATGCCATGACTTTAAACATTACTTACCAGAGTTAAACTCTGGTAAGTAAACTTCTTGTAAGCTCTAGTACAAGGCCTTAACAGTACAAGCTTTTTTTTTTACTTGGCTAGAGTATTAGTGGCCAGCCTGGTGTTTTGCTGCCCTGACTTTGAAGTATTTGTTGATGAGAGGAGGTGTGGGGAGGAAGGACTTTTTTTAAGCAACGATATTTTATTAGAAGTTTTTTTGGTTTGGTTTTTTTTTTTTTTTAACTTGCTGGTTGTCACTTCCTAAACTGCTGTTTCAAAAACTTCCTTCTAGTTCATGGTCCAACTGGGTGATCCCAGCAATAGCAGCAATCATCGTGGCCCTGATGTACCGTTCCTACATGTCAGAGTAAGCGCCTTACTGAGAACTAATGCAAGAAGAGACTGATCTGGGAGAGAATATAAGCAATCCTAACCCAATATGTTTCCAGATAAAAGCCTGATGTCTGAAGAAAATTCAACTTTTTCAGAAAAACTGAACCATTATTTTCTGCTGTGCACTTTTCTTAATGTTGCCTTCTTATTTGCTGTTCTGACGTGATAAAAAGGCAGCATTTCTCTTTTTGTATAACAATTGTACTCCCTAATGAATAACTTGATAACTGTTTTCTGTAGTAGAATATTGTTTTGTATGTAACACTGATTATGGTTATTTCTCTGTAGTCTGTAATGGGGCCATAGGACTCCCCTTTACATATATATTTTACAGCTTTAAATAACTACCAAAACTGTGTACAGGTATTTGTCCACGTACACGACAACTTAAAAAAAAACATGTTGTTGTCTTAAATGGAGTATGTTTGAATGAAATACTAATTAAACATAATGGAAAAAGCTGAGTGGAGTAGTGGGTCTTGGTAGGGCCCAACTGCTTGCTATCAGGCTATAATGAGCTGATACTTCTTTTTTTCCTTTCCTCTTGATGTCTGCTCTTACAGTTGTTGTAGATACTCCTACTAACAAACTGTTCTGTTTGACTCCCATTTAAAAAAATCACAGTGAAATATGAACCCCAATGTTTGGCATAATTATATCCATCTCAGTTTTGTGAAAAGTAGCTCTCTCTTGTGGAAAAAAAAGGCAGAGAAATGTAACTGCTACTAAATAATACTGTTCCTGCCAAGCACTCAGGTGACTCTAGAAGCTGTTCTGGAACTTTTAGGCTTTTTATAAAATCTTTCAGCTTTGTCATGCGCATTGTGAGGGGGAAAAACTGATAATGTGGAACCTGTTTGACTGTTCTGTGATGTACTCCTTGGTGTTTTACTATGAAGAGAATACTATTTTCACTGCTAAATACAAGATAACTGAAAGTATGCATTTTGTGGTGAATGTTTTTAGTCATATGTAAATGATTATGAATAAAAGTTTAATTGCTTACTTTTGCTGGCTCGAACTTACTGAAAACTTTTTTGAAGGCCTTGGCAAGGATGCTTTTGCACCTTGAGACACTGCTCAGAATTGGTTTGGTGCATGTTAAGAGTCAAGATATGTCCCTTATGCAGGGGAGTTGCATGCAAAGAGTGGGAAAGTGTATCATGGAGCAGTTAGCACAGATAAACATTTCCATCACTGTTACCTCACACCAGCTAGTGACTTAGCAGTGGTTTGGCCCTGCAAGCTTTTGCCTCCCTGATATTCATCTAGGACTGGAAACATTATTCCAAGGGCTGCCTCTTGGCATCACCAGGGGAGATGCAGCATGGAGTTTAGGCCCTGCATCAAGTCAAATGAAATTAAAAGATCATCTGTTGGAAACCTGGGCTTAAAAAAACAAACAATAAATAGAAAAATGGGAGAGGGGAATTACTGTGACTTCAGAAGATTGTCTTGTGCGTGTGTAGGAATATATCAATACAGGAATCCTTTAAGTTTTCCTTTTGTAGGAATTCCTTTACTGTTATAGCAAGTAAGGGTGTCGCATAGCTTCAACTGTGAAAGAGTTTAGTATCTCTTACTCTTGTATTCATGTGTTCTGTCAGGCTTGATTTATATTTAAAGTAGAGCCCATCAACTTTACCTTGAAAATTTTAACTTGTGGTTTAAATGGCAGTGTTTGGGATTGTGTCTACCATCAACTTACTTTGTCCTGGTTTTGCCCTAGCTTTCCCTCTGAATGGGGGTGAAGTGGAGTTTAAAAATTTAGGCTTTAGTGACTTTTTATGGATAACCTTAAATACCAAGTCAGAGGTAATCTGTGCTTTTAAGACTCGTAAATCAAGTTTCAAGTTGAATTTTCTGTTGTTTTTTAAAACAACATTTAAGTTCACATGCCTGGGGGGAGACACTCAAACCAGCAACTTTAGAAAGTGCTTTCCATTCCATTTTTTTTTTTTTTTTTTTTTTCCCCCTCCAAGAACTTCAAACTGTGGTAATTATGTTCCCATCAGCAGACAGAGTAGTGCAATCAAAGTGGATCTCTAAACTCACGCTTGCCGCAAAAGGCTTTTGTTGTGGTTTAAGCCCAGCTGGTAACTTGGAACCACGCAGCCGCTTGCTCACTCCCCCTGCTCCCAGAGGGATGGGGAGGAGAATCAGAGGAATGTAACTCCCACGAGTTGAGATAACAGCTCTCCAGTAACTAAGGTATAATACAAACCACTACTGCTACCAATAAGAATGATAAGAGGAATAACAAGGGAAAAGGACACAACCGCTCACCACCCGCCGACCGATACCCAGCCCGACCCGAGCAGCGATCTGGGCCTTCCGGGTAACTCCCCCCAGTTTATATACTGGGCATGACGTGCTGTGGTATGGAATACCCCTTTGGCCAGTTTGGGTCAGGTGTCCTGCCTCTGCTTCCTCCTGGCTTCCCCTCCTCTCTGGCAGAGCATGAGACTGAGAAAGTCCTTGGTCAGAGTAAACATTACTTAGCAACAACTAAAAACATCGGTGTTATCAGCATTGTTCCCAGACTGAAAGTCAAAACCACAGCACTGCACCAGCTACTAAGAAGGAGAAAAAATGACTGCCGTAGCTGAACCCAGGACAGCTCTTTACCTATGCTGCGTATGTTTGGGGAGTTTTAGCATGGTATAGCTCTGTTTGGGTCTGATATACTGGATGTTTATATATACAATCCTACAGTTGGTGTGCACGGAGAATTTCCGTAATGTGAACTGAAAGTGCAATGAGTGGAGATGGGAAGGCAATGTTTCAAAACCTCATACAAGTTAAAATGCTAATGCAGCAACATGGCTTGTACCCTGTACTTGGTCTGTTTATATTCCTTCCACCAGTGCTGATGGAAGTTGTTCCTCAGAGATGGACATGACAGTAACAGATTTTTAAATTGATTTTGTAAATTGATAAAACCATAAAGTAAAAAAGAAAAAAAAATGCCCTAATTAAGGTTAGAACTGCTTTCCATAGGGGGTGATATGGGAGTTTTTATGTGACTTTAGTTTCTGAATATGAGAGGAAGAGAAAATGTACATGGGTGGGGTGACGATTGAATGACTATGCTATTGAAAGACTAGTCTAGGGAATTAAGGGTAGTCAATGTTTTTACAATCTGAAAGCAAAAAGAAAAGAATGGGTGTGCTTTCTTCTCAGAACAAAATCCTTTGGCACTAAATCTAATTGTCTGGTAATTAACTTTAATACTAATTTTTGCTTGGAGAGGCTGGTTTCAGTGGTTGAAGCTTTACATAAGATGTGTTATGTTGTCTACTTGTACAACCTCACAATATATATACTGCCTTGAATTACTCGAGCACTGCATTATTGGCCTTCACTTGCCTATCCTCTGCTGTTCACATGAAATGCATAGTGGTAGAGAGCTCCCTTAAATGGAGGCAGCCTTGGTTTGCTCTTGGTGTCTGTGGAGTAAAGCCAGCACAACTTGTCCACTTGCTCCCTCTGCTACGATGAGGAAAAAATAGCACTCTGTCCCTTTCTCTGGCTCGCTTGCTGAAGCACATTGGTCCAATGACTTTCTCTAGTTCTGAATGCTGTGCTGCGGTCAGGATTTTGCAGGATGCTAGAGAGAAACTGTCAAGGGGGTATAAGCTAGGCAAATGGAAGCTAATCACAATTTTCCTTGAGGTAAAAGAAATGGGAAGGTGCTATTTGTATTTTCTGAATATTTCGCTACTGGGGATAAATGAACCTTATAAATTCTGGCCAGTTTGAGCAGAACTGATACTGTATTTCCTGATTTTCTGCAAGGCTGGCAATGAAGATTATTAACTAAAACTCAGTGAGAATGAGCTGTGTCAAAGTGTCATACAAAACATGGAGAGCAATAATAGTATTATAACATTTTCTCCTGAATATAGAAAAGGATTTCAGAAACAGCATAGAGGAACAAGGAGTGGGAGGAAACTCATGCTCCTGTATGCTTAGCTGTAGTGCCTGACCAGATCTGAGTTGAAGCTAGTAACTAATGTATCACATATTTGAATTTTACTTTCATACTACGTTACATTCCTTTTCATGGTTAATTCATTTTGTGTTGAAATGTTTTGAGTTTTGAATGACCTGATTTAGAGGTAGGTGGGCAGACAAGCACATGAATTAATGAGAAATGTTGGAACACTGGATCTCGGTAGATGATTAATGCTGGATTTTTTGTTCTTTCTGAAAACTAGTCAGACTTGTTCTTAATCTTCTTACATGTAAGAGTATGCGTAAAACAATCCTTGACATTTTCTTTACCAGCTTTCTGAAACTGAGGACATACAATGCGACTACTTGTCTATATTGATAACTGCTAAAACAAAGCTCAGAATGGACTTGGTTGCGCTGCTGAGTCTCGTGTAAGGAATAGATTTTGACTTTTTTCCTGTGTAGTATAATTTCTGTGCATGAGTCTTAAAGTTTACTGCACTTAGGTAGAGAACATACGGACAAGAGCTGTCAGTTCTGTTCACTGAGGGGAAAATAGCACTGTCAGGCAAGAAGAGTTATGTACCCAAAAACCTTAGGGAAGGTTGTTTTGGTATCTCTGGGCAGAACTCATGTGGACCCCCAGTGTCCAGGAACTGTACTCAGTAGCACAGTTACCACAGAAATCTTGCCGTTTTCCATAGACCATGGTCTATGGATACAGCTGATTGACTGGTCCTATTGCAGGGTGAGAGCACTTCACACTATCCCTGGAGTTCCACCTACGTACATCCCGGATAAATGCAGCCCTTTATTGTTTGAAATTACAAGTTTTTTGCCTGTCAGCTGTGGGAAAATGTCTCTCTAAATAAAATGTGTTCTGGAAACTGCTTCAAAGTCTATTAAGGGGGTGGTTCAAGAGAAAAAGTTAAGCCAACCAAGGGGAGTGCTTTCCTAATGACTTCTTGAAAATAAGGAAAGATCATTCTCCTGTCACACTTGACACAGATTTCTGAAGCCAGCTGATGCTTTTAGTGTCACTCATCAGGTCTTAACGTGGCTTGCAGGGATATCCGTAAGAGCCTGATAGGTGTGTTTTCTACATAGGTGTTGAGGGTGGATGTGAAAGAAAAAGCTCAGCCTGCTCCTTAGAAGCCTGCCTGGTGTTGGACTGGTAACTGGAAACATGCAAATATGTTCTATTTGTAAAATGAATGGATTCCCAACTTGTGTTTATTTGGATTTATTTTTCAGAGTAGCGTTGCAGCGAGTAACAGTCTGCATCAGACTGAGCAATTTATGAATAATAAAGGGAAGTTGGTATTTGAGCAGTCACAGCTTCTGAGATTAGAATGAGAGAACCTTGTTTTATTTTTAGGTGATTCTGTAAGGACTACTTTTTGATCCTGTTGAAGTATGACAGACATTTGAGTACTGCAGGCTATTATATACTGTGTTGT